ATTGAGGTCCCCCACTACAATTGTATTAGTGCTTATTTGGTTTTTCATGTCCATTAATATTTGTTTTGTATAGTTGGGGGCATTCATATTTGGTGCATGTATATTTATGATTGTCACCTCTTCCTCTTGGATTGTTCCCTTCACAAGGATGTATTGACCATCTTTGTTTCTCTTAATTAGTTTTGGTTTGAAATCTACTTTGTGTACAAATAATATTGCTACACCTTTTTTCTGGTTTCCTGTGGCATGGCGAACTGTTTTCCATCCTTTTACTTTCAGTCTATGAATTTCTTTTTGAGTTAGGTGTGTTTCTTGTATACAGCATATTGTTGGATACTGTGTCTACTTCTAACCTTGAATGAATGAAAATGTAGTTGGATAGAGCATATTCAGTCTGCGTTAAAGTAGTTACTAGTGTGAGCACCTAGAAAATAGGTCTCCACATCAACTGCCACTGACTTATAATGCTTCTGACTTCCTAAGTAAGATCCAACCAATTACAAAGGAAGCGGAACACCTTGGGCTGGGGATTTAGCTCAGTGGTTTCACTGGCTGCTGCATAAGCGCAAGGACCCAAGTTCAATCCCCAGTATAAAAAAAAAGAAAAAAGGAACTCCTTGAAGAAATGGAGCTATTTCGATGACATAAAGTATAATAGAACCCTAATCTTTAGTAAAACCCATACAAATAGTAGGGTAATTTAAATATGCTTTCTAATATCAATTGTGGTTTTATTTAGGAGACTAAACAGAGGTTTGCCATAAAATGTAAAAATAAATGATCAAGGGCTGAGAATGTAGCTCAGTGACTCCGGGCCTGCCTGACAAGCGCAAGGTCCTTAGTTCAATCACCGATGTGGGGGTGGGGGTGGGGTATCATAACTTTTTAAAGAAACTAAGACTCCAAGTTTGGATCCCAGTTGTGGAGTCCCACATTCCAAGTCATCTGAGGTTCTTTTCTAGTTCACTTGTAGAAGCTATGATGGAATGAAACACTGTACTAATATATGTTACATGTTGATAGAAAGTGAAGTGGCTGTCCTATACATGTTTGTACTTCTAAATGAAATTAAATTTTCTCACATTAAGAGTATTTTAATGGTGTTGCATCCTTACTTTTCTAAAAGATTTTCATATAAAATACTAAAATTTAACTACTGTATATCCTCATTTATTTGCTACGAGACTAATACAAGCCATTTAAACATCTCTAGCAATCTACCGGCTAAAGGGAGATCATTCTTTCTACAAACACAAGTAAGATCTGACTCCTGCCCAGGAGCAACATCAGGAGCTCTTCACTGTTCATCAGTGAACATTGTTCCTACATTGTGTTACCACTTGGACACTTTTCTTAGAGATCTGTGTTGATATTATATGTAAAAAAAAAAGTGGTATTATGTTTAAATGCTACATTTTATGGTAGATTGAAACCACGGTGTATCTTTCTGTAATTTCCCTCAATTAAGTGAATAAAACCAACAAGCCTGGCTCACAGCTACTATTATGACTTTTCTGATATGTTCTTATAGTACCTTTCTTTGTTTTATACAGAACCGAAGAAGATACCTTGTTATCCTGTTGAATTAAGTTGCAACCTACTGGAACAGCATTGCCTAAAATATCCCAAGAAATTTACCATGGGACAAAGGAACATTTTGAAAGCTATTTTACTTACTATATTAGACTCTTTTATTACTTGAAGAGAAAGATGGTCGGTTCTTTTTAGGTATTTTATACTCAATCCTTCAGTTGTCAGCCATCTTTGTTTCAATTCATTCATTGATGAAATAAACACTCATTCGGGACTTGGAAAGGCTGTGGAAATGTGTAAAGTTTGAGTGGCTTTGTTGCAGCTCAGTATCTAATAAGGAAGGCAGGTACAGTACAGCTGTTGAGTGAGCAGCATGATGTGCCCTTTAGGAGGGACCCCAAACTTATGAGTCTAAAGAAGTTCATATTTGTCAAATGCAAATTCTTAACTTTTAAGGATCTTACTTTCTAAGGCAAATTCTTATCTTCTAAGACTCAGAGGAGAGCTGTGGACTCTTTCCAAAAAAAAAAAAAGCACTCATTCCTTGAAGTCCAAATATCATAGCACAAGAATCTAAATTCATCCTAATATTGTCGGTCTACATTAATCTTTTGTAATATAAATCACTTTTATCCCTGTCCTAAAACTACTGTTTGTTTTCTACGATACTCTGCAGTACTAAAATTCTAGATTCTGACCCCAACTGTCTTTCATAATCTTACAGACCTTTAGTATTACCTCAAGTATGTTTTTGGTTGCTAGACTGTCACAGTTGTAATGAATTTGTATTTTGCAAAGTGTTAGGAAAGTTGTTAAAAATTTTGGAGCCACCTTCAAAGTGAAAGCACTTTGAGTTGATTAAATTATCTCCCACTAGTACACAGTTTTAGTTCTAGCTGTTTACATTTTTTCTAAGGTTTTTAGGATCAGAATTTACTCTTGTTCTTGAAGACTCCTTTATCACAAAATTATGGTTATATATGTGTATCTGAGGTGAGTTATTAATAGTTAACTTAGTTCTCTTTAAACCTTTAAAATAAAGAAAAGCGAGGCGTCAGCCTTTCCCAGGTGCGAACCTGATTCTGAGAAGGCCGAGACCCGTGGAGATCCGGGCTCCAGGCTTCCGAGCCCGCGGATGCGCGAGGACGGGCACACGCAGGGAGAGACCAGATGGAAGGAGCGGAGCGGGCAGCTTCCCACTCGCCCCGCCGGTCCTCAGATCGACGTTCTGACAGGTTCGGTGTTCCTCGTTTTGTAAAGAGTATTTGGAGAAGGGAAACCTAGAATGGGCGCCGGCCTTCGTTCTGTTGTGAACTGAGAGAGACATTGGGCGGAGCCAGGGTTTAAACCTCCCGCCCGGCTGCGGCGCCCATCCCGCGGGCTCCCGGCCGAGGGCGCGGGCAGGACGGGGCCCGACGCTGGATGGGAGACGGGACGGGAGCCGAGAGGGGCCGAGCGGGCCGAGCAAGCCGAGCGCCACCCGAGGCGACAGAGGAGCGTCGCGTCGCGTCGCGTCGCGCCGCGCCGCGGTGAGCGTCCGAGTCTCCCTCCCAGGCGGCGGTCCGGCCCGAGCTAAAGCCGTGGTTTCCCATGGCGACGCCGGGAGCAGGCGCCACTGGGGCACAGGCCTCGCCGGCCTCCTCTGCTCCTGGGGCCGGGCTCTGCAGCCTCGCTCTGTGCGGAGTCGGGTCCGACTGGCGGCCTCTCTCTAGGGAAGGGCGCGGAAGGCAGAATCCAGGCGGGTCCTCGCGGGCAGGCTGGCGCTCCTGCCCACCCCGCCGGAGAGCCAGCGCGGCGGCCGAGGCTGCTTGGGTGATTTTTCTCTGGGAGGAGAGCGCTTCTGAGGGAGGCCAGTGCTCACCGCCTTCAGGTGCTTGACTGCTGGCCTTGTCTGCAGGTTGGGCTTATTTTTATTTCATTTTTTATCATGGGACGTCATCCTTAGAAACTGGCGACTTGTTGGTAAAAGAAAACATGAGCAGATGTGCGGGCTAGGGTGAGCTGCGGAATGCACTGGCTTCTGGAAATGAGGGTCTTCTGGTCATTACCCGGGCGACGCTGTTAGCTGTCAGACACCCGAGTCCTAGGAAAGATGGGGAAGGGAAGGGCAAAATCCAGCCTGGTACCTCAACCGCCAATGCATGGATCTACCAATAGAGGGGGTGGGATTATATGTCATCTAATAGATGATTTTGATGCACAGAACATAAAAGCTGTTATTAAAAAAAACCCAGCTTGTAGGAAAGATAACGTCGCTCCGTGGTTTTGGTTCTTTTTCTAAGTATATTTTGATTTACAATGTTTGATTCTGACTCAGGCAACTTACTGAGGCTGTATTACTTTAATCCACATCAATATGGGATAGCCACAGGTGCCTCAATTTTTTTTTTTGGTAGTGGGGATCGAACTCAGGTCGTTGCGCTTGCGCAGAGGCAGCGAAACCACTGTGCTAAATCCCCAGCCCAAGGTGCCTCAATCTTAATAGGAGTTAATTATACATTTATTGGCCAAATAAACATCTTGTAATGATATGTATATATTTTTATGACAAAATTTAAAAATCATTTTATATTTGTTATCCATGCCTAACATACCCAGTGTTTTTAATTCTGTACTTATTTCATAGTGCAAAATAATCGTGCTGTAAATATAGCTGTGGAAAAAAAGTATGTTCAAGGCACTGTTCTAATTACTAGTAATTATAATTGTCAGGCAAAGCATTATAATTTTAGAATTAGAAGGGTGCTCAGAAAGCAACTTATCCAAAGGGCAGAAACTGCCAACATGAGACTGGTAGAAAAAATAGGAAGCTATATTTTTATACTAAATATTTATCATAAGTGATGGACATAATTTATACCAGTACCTGAAGTAAAACCAAATGTAAAAATATGAACTATTATATGTAAAAGAGATAGTATCCTATTTTATTCTATACTGACAAACTTTCTGGTTTTATAGTGTACTATATCCTATAACCTAAATTTTTCTTTACTTTTGTACTTTTTCAGTACCTTTGTTATTTAATATCTTTTGTCCCTTTTTTCATTTTGTCTGTTTTTCATTCATGCTTTAAGCTTTGTCTTCTAGGTAATACTTTTCAGACTTCTGCTTAGATCCAGTATTCACCATTGAAAGTTTAGTCACTTTAATGTTTTGCCATTGTTGACTCATTTGCATATACCACTACTTTGTACATCATCTTTTTGTTAATTTAAGATAGTTTAAGAATGCTAAAGTATTTATGATATGATATAAAGTATTTTATATGATATATTTACAATAGCCAACATTAACAACTGTTAATATTTTGTCATGTTATTTCCTTTCTTATTTTTCTTCCTTTTCTTCCTCCTCCCCTTCTCCTCCCCCTCCTCCCCATACCCCTTCCTCTTCCACTTCATCTTCCTCTTCTTCCTCTTCGTCTGTCTTGGAGACCACCCCAAGGCCTGATACATGTGAGGCAAGACTTCTACTATTGAACTGCATCCCCAACCCAAAGAATGTTTTACTATTATTGTTTCCAGAATTATATTTTGGGCATTTTATTCTTTAGGGATTTTAGACTTTAAGAATTTTGATCTTTCAAGATTTCAGCATTCTGGATTATGGTGTTTGGGATTGTCTTTGAGGATGACTCAGATCCAATTTTGGACAGACATACATTGTAGATACTGCAGATTCAGTTCCCAGCCTCTACAGTAAAGCAAGTCACACAATGCTTTTGGCTTTCCAGTGCGTATCAAAGTTATGTTTATAGTATACTGCAGTCTATTAAGTGTACAATAACATGTCTAAAAATTATACAGAGCTTAATTTTAAAATAGCTTATTGTTTTAAAAAATGCTAACAAATCGGGCCGGGGATTTAGCTCAGTGGTTTCACCACCTGCTACGCAAGCGCAAAGACAAGAGTTCAATCCCCAGTACCAAAAAAATAATGCTAACAATCACCTGAACTTTCAGCAAGTTGTAATCTTTTGCTGTGGAGGGTGCTGCCTTGATGTTGATGGCTGCTGACTGATCAGATGGTGATTGCTGAAGGTGAGGGTGGCTGTGGTAATTTCTTAAAATAAGACAGCAGTGAAGTTTGCCACTCAACTAGACTCTTCCTTTCAGGAAAGATTTTTCTGTAACATGCAGTTCTGTTTGGTACCATTTTGCCCACATAGCACTTCTTTCAAAATTGGAGTAGGTCCTCTCAAACCCTGTTGCTACTTTATCAACTAAGTTTATGTAATATTCTACATCTGTTTGTTGTCACTTCAACAATGTTCACAGCATCTTCATCAGGAGTAGATTCAGTATCAAAAACTCCAGAAACAACTCCAATCCACTCCATCTTCCTAACCCAGAAGTAACTCTTCATCCACCAAAATTTTTTCATGACATTCTAGCAAATCAGTCACATTAATCGCATATACCTCTATCAGAGTTCTTGGACAACCAAGTGTATTGTGAATGTGCAGTAACACATATTTTGAGATGGAGACCTATAATATATATATATATATATATATATATGCACACACACACACTTTTTTCTTTTTTTTGGTTTTTGAGACAGGGTCTTGTTACTTTTTCTATGCTGGTCTTGCACTTACTATGTAGCCCAGGCTGGCCTTGAATTCAGGGCAATCTTCCTGCCTCAGCCTCCCCAGTGCTGGCATTAGAGATATGCACCATCATGCTCAGCTCTTCAAGTGATCTTCTTGCTTCACCCTTCAAAGTAGGGGTTCTATAAGTGTGCATCACTATACCTAGCTTAACAGTAATATTTTTAAAGGCATATTTCTTTTCTGTGTAGTACGTACCAGTAGTGGGCTTAAAGTATTTAGTAAACCATGTAGTAAATAGATGTGCTGCCATCCAGGCTTGTCATTCTGTTTACAGAGCCCAGGCAGAGTAGATTTAGTGTAATTCCTAAGGGCCTAGAATTTTTGGAGTAGTAAATGAGGATTTTGAATGGTGAAATCATGAGCTACCTTAGTCCCTAACAAGAATCTCAGCCTGTCCTTTGAAGCTTTGAAGCCAGGCATTGACTACTTCCCTCTAGCTGTAATAGTCCTAGCTGGCCTCTCACTCCAGTAGAGGGCTGCTTCCGTTCATTGAAAATCTGTTCATTAGTGCAGCTGCCTTTGTCAGTTGTCTTAGGTCTTCTTGGTAACTGGCTGCACCTTCTAACCTTAGCGCTTGCTCCCTCACCTTTTACTTTTATGTTATAGAGATGGAAATGGCTTCTTTCCTTAAACCTCATAAACCAATCTTTGCCAGCTTCAAACTCTTCTGGAACTTCCTCGTCCCTCTCTGCCTTCATATAATTGAAAAGAATTAGGGCTTTTCTCTGGCCTAAGCTTTGGCTAAGGGAATACTGTGGCTTGTTTGACCTCTTCAAACCACTAAAACTTTTCTCCGTGTCAGCAATAAGGGTATTTTGCTTATTTTGTTTGTTTGTTTGTTGTGTTTTCTTTTTGTTTTGTATTTTGCTTTCTTATGTGTTCACTGGAGTACCACTTTTAATTTCCTTTAGGAACTTTTCCTTTCCATCGACAGGTAGTCTGTTTAGCTCAGGAGGCCTAGCTTTCAGCTTGATTGGCTTTCAACCTGCCTTCCGCACTAGGTTAATCATTTCTAGCATTTGCTTTAAAGCGAAAGACCTGTGAGTCTTCCTTTCACTTGAATACTTAGGGGCCGTTGCTTGGTCTTAATTGGCTTAATTTCAGTATTGTTGTGTTTCAGAGAATAGGAAGACCTGAGAAGAGAAAGTGAGGTGGGAGAATGGCTGGTTGGTGGGGCAGTCAGAACACAGGCACCATTTATCAATTAGGTTGGCTATGTTATATGGCTATGACTCATGGTTCCCCCCAAACAATTAAAATAGTGACATCAAAGATGACTGATCACTGACACTAATGGAAAAGTTTGAAATGTTGCAAGAATTACCAAAATGTGATCTAGATACAAAATGAACACATGCTGTTGTAAAGTGGTGCTGGTTGATAAAATCACTATGGAGGACAACATAGCAAAATGAAAACATTTTTTAAATGCTATACCCTTTGATTCAGCAGTTATACTTCCAGAACCTTATGTAATAGACACTTTTATGTATTTTAAATAATAAATATGGAAGTTTATTCATTGTGTTACAGTTTGAAATAATACTGTGAAAATAATTCATCAATCAGTAAAAACTAGTTTAATTATACAGTCCATACACAGAATGCTATTTACCCACTAAAATTAAATTCCAGTTTAGTAAAAGAGCCCGTGTCATATTCTCTCTCTCTCCTTTTTGTTTTTTGTGTTTTTTGGTACTTGGGATTGAACTCGGAACTTTGCACTTGGGAGGCAGGCAGTGGCACCACTGAACTAAATCTCTGCCCTCCATGTCATATTCTTTTTCCCTTACCATTGTATAAAGTACTCACCTTTTTTTTTCTGTAGTACTGGAGATGGAATTCAGGACTTCACACATGTTAGACAACCGCTCTACCTCTGAACTACACTCTCAGCCCTCACTTTTTAGTACCTAATGTTGCTGAGAAGATGACTGGGCCCAGCATAAATTACATAATTTGTAGATGGTATTGTTTCTCCTGCACAAATGCTGAGAGCATTGTCTTTATTTTTTTCCTGAAAATTCAGCAACATTCCATGATATAATTCAGTCTAGATCATTCTCTATTTTTCCTGGAATCCAATGAGCTCTTTTAATATTCAGTTTTGTATTCTTAAATATTTTGCCTATTCCACATGCCTGTCTTTCTCTGTTTGAGATTATTACTGATTTTAGATCTCAGTTGTTTATCTTCCAAATCTATTATCCTTGATTTTATCTAAGTACTTTGTTCAAATCTAATCATTTTTACCTTGTAATCTTTATTTTTAAATTCTCTCCCTAGTCTTGCTCTCTGTGCTCTTGATTTTCTGAAGTATCCATTCTACTTTTAATTTTCTTCTAATACAGTTTCAAATTCAGTATTTTAAAAAATCTTTCTTACCTCTTTTGTTTCAGTCCTTTTCTGATCTATTATATGGAGTTATACTCTATCTGCTTGCAGAGAAGTTCTTTAAAGTTCTATTTTATGGAGCCACTTTTGGAGTATATATTTTTTTCTTTTTCATGTTTCGGTGCTTCCTCCTTTTTATCTTGCAGAGCTACTTTTTCATTTATTTTGCATGTTTTGGGGGGGGGGGCAGATACCGGGGATTGAACTCAGTTCCTTGTGCTTGTGAGGCAGGCGGCAGCACCACTGAGCTAAATCCCTGGGTTATTTGACATGTTATTTATTATTGAACAGAGCAATTCTATTCTGGCCTATTCTTTGCCCAAGAATGATGTATACAGTAGAGTCATCTTAACCTCTTCCCTATTTGCATGGCAATTGAAATAATTGCCTTGGAGTCTGAGATAGGAGACTGGATGCTGATTATTGTGATCTCTGTTCAGAAATTGGCTGCTTGGTGCCACAGTTCTCAGATGTTTTCTCTAGGCTCTTTTCCATAGCATGCGTTATCATTGGCTCCAGAGGCAAGTTAAGGCTGGTAGATCTATGATTAGTTTACTTTGTTCTGATATGCAAGATTGACTACCACATTCCTGCTTCTGTTTTCCTCATAGTCATGTTTTGTCTCTAGGCATGGAAAATATAAAATGTTCTGGCCACTGTGGATTTTAGGGAGCCCAGTTGCACAATACTGCTTTCTTATTCCTCACCCACCTCCTAAGACGAGCCAAAAGTTCAAGGCAAATGGACATAAAAATATCAATGTTATTATTGAGAGAGCTGTTGGAGGGCATGTATGGTATCAGTGGTCTTCAAATTCTTCTCTCTTCCATTTCAGACTTTGGAATGGCCCTCACAAATGAACATTTGAGTCTTCAAAATAGAGCCTATAAGACTTTTGCCATTTGTAGATTATAAGTGGTGAGAGATTAAAAAAAGGGACCAAAATCCCCAGTTTTAGGACTTTAAATAAATTGCCTCTGCACAGTCAAGAAATATGGTAGTTCTATCCTGTTGAGGAATGTAAATTAATGGTAAACTCATCAGTCAGGTTTCTCACAGAGGAAGAAAGGGCTAGAGCAGAAACTATTTGTAGAAAGTCCTCCTTCATGGAACCAGAAGAGATGCAAGGAAGCATTCCCTACCTGAAACATCATAATCCCTTTCTCCATTGTCTTTTTTTCCAACCTATGCTAAGGAGATAGGCAACAAGTAGATGTTGTCTGCTTCTTCCATAACTCTGGCTGCAATCCCTTCAATGACTCATCTTTTAAAGTGAGTGATTAATTATTGCTGTAATTCTTCAGAACCTACTAAAATTGCCAAAATTGAATCTATTTGAAATTAGAAGATACGTGTGTCAGATTTGGATTTCTTCTTTATATTTGATGCAAATCTCATTCTATTTATTTATTGGCATCAGTGCTATGAAATGTGGACATTTTGTGCTTGGAAGTTGTTTTGTAAATTGCTTATTCTTTTTTTTTTTTGAGACAGGGTATCTCTATGTAGTTCAAATTGACCTTGAACTCACTATGTAGTCCAGGCTGCCCTTGAGCTTGTGGCAATCCTCCTGCCTCAGCCTCCCAAGTGCTAGGATTACAGGTGTGTGCCACACCCAGCTGAGAGAGTTTTAATTTTCCTTTCTTTTTTTTTTCTAAGAAAAAATAATTTTCAGGAGAATATTCTGGTAGCTTTCATCATTGAACTTAATGAACTGACCTTAACATTAAAATACAGTACATGTAGGGCCGGGAATTTAGCTCAGAGGCACCATGCCTGCCATGTAAGGACAAGGTCCTGAGTTCGATTCCTGGTACTGAAAAAAAAAACATGTAGGGCGAGGGATATAGTTCAGGGGCACCATGACTGCCTGGCAAGCACAAGGTCCTGAGTTTGATCCCTGGTACCGGGAAAAACAAAACAAAAAGCCATGTAGAGTTGATTATTATTTTTTTTATACCAGGCCTCTGCTGTGGGGGACCTGCAGAGTCCAGAGCTTTCCTCAGTTGCCATTGAGTGACACAGAGTAGGGAAGAGCCTCAGGGTCCTGGCTTGGAAAACACAGAATGGTGAATCTGGATTCTAGAAAGTAATTGCTTCATTTTTTACTAGTATTCCTCTTTTGCTTGCTTAGGTTATTACTTTTTCTGCTATCAGAAAAACTTATTGAAATCCCTTATTTACCTTTGTCTCTATACTTTATGTATACTAAAAATTAGTACATTATTTTTGTTGTTGTTATGTTTTGTTTGGTACTGGGGATTGAACTCAGGACCTTGTGCTTTCGAGGCAGGCTTGGTGCCACTGAGCTGAATCCCCAGTCCAGTAG